CTTGGTCAGAATCACCGATTGCATATACTTGTCAATTCAAATCCTAAAACTTTTTGAAGTTTTACTCATGTGACGCGAACTACATGAATGAATATCTGAAATTCTAATTTAATTACAAAGTTACTAATTAAAGTAATTTTAATATGTAAATAATACAGCCGTTGAATAACCAGCTAATTTCTTGATTACCTGTTTTTTAACAAAATTATTATTTTTCTGGTTAATTCAAATCCCTAAATATTTTAATGCCACTATTGTAATTAGTTGTTACAAGTAAATAATATGGTTTTGTACAAGGTTAAAATATAGTCGAATAAATTTTTTTAATATTTTTTATATCAAACAAATTGAAATTGATGAAATTGTTACATTAGGTTGGTAAATTAAAGATGTAAAATATAAAAAGAGTTATTTTATATCAGTAATTAATTGATAAATAAATTAGAAAATAGATGATTATTATAATTTTTAATACTCATTATACTAAAAGTAGATTGAAGGATAGTTAACTTTTTTATTATTTGCTTACAAATTAGATAAAGTATTGAGTATATAAAATTTGGCTAAATTTAGAATTAAATATTATTTTATAAATATTATTTATTTATTACTGTATAAAAAACCAATTAAAATATTTCAGCTTAAACAAAAAAAGGAATTAAATAACTACAAAAAGTTCAATATATTTCATTATACTATTTTTATTCTAATTACGTAGCACAGTTTTAGCACTCTAAATTTAGATCAAATGATTTTAACGTCAAAATACAAAAAAAATATAAATTATTAGTATTATTATTGAAAACCTTTTTAGGAAAAAAATAATCATTAAAATCAATATTTGATAAATAATTAACTCATTTAATTTATTATAAATTCACTTCTTGGTTAACTAAAATTTGCAATATTTTATTAATAAATGTAAAATCAAAAATTATAAAATTATATATATATATATACAAAATTTTTCTCATTTTATTTAAAAAAAAAAGTAATTTTATTATAATTATATTTCTTTTTCTTTATACTAAAAACAAAATGTTATTCAATCTATATACTTATATAACTTAATTTACTCTTTGAAGCTGAATACCCAAAGTTTTCAAACATTAAGACGTGATTAAAGCTTTAAAAAAATCTCCATGGTAATTGATACTAAAATTATCAAAACCTGATCACCAATTATGATTTATACACATATGATACACTGAGAAAGTGAGTTAATTGCATTAATCATTTAAAAAAAAATAGAGTTTGCTTATATTTCTATAGTATATGAAATTAATTTCTTTAAATTAATTATCAGAAAATACTATATTTCCTTTAACCAAATCAAATACGTACTAATTAGAAATAAATTAAACAAATTAATTATTCAAATAAGAAATTTATCTTTACTTAAAGAAGCTATGACTGATTCCTCTTCTTAGATATTTTAAATTGTTTAACATTTTATATAAAACTATTTTAGAAAAATGTTTCTTTAATTACTAATGTTTTCAATCCATATTGAAGAAAAATCAGTAATATATACTTCTATATTAATTGAATTATTTTATTTAAAAATTTATTTTATAATTATTATTAAATAAGTATGACGCACTTCACATATTTTTGTCAGCAATACATATAAAAAGAAAAAAAAAGTAACGTTAGTAACATACTAAATTTAATAAGGAAACAAAAAAAAAAACACTTGCTAGTAATTTCAAGCCGCTTTCAGCTAAATAATTTTAATGGTCTTGTTATTTAAAAATTATGAAATTTGGCTATTTGTAATAAATAAATATAATTTTTGAAGAGGAACAATTACGTAACTTCCTAAAGTAATTAAAAATTTATTTATTTAAACTTAATTTTTTTTTACTATAAACCAAAAAAGTAATTTATCTTTTTTAGAACAAATGTTCATTTTTAAATAATGTAAGACAAATACCTATACATTATAAGGTAAATATAATTAAACAATAATGGTAATTATCTTAGATAGAATCAAAAAGTAGTTCTCATTTAGCAAATATAAAATTATTTGAATTATTTGAATACAATATTTCCTAATTCTTATAGGCATAAGGAAAGAATACTTTAAAGTTTATAAAATTTATAAAATATTATTTTTAACTAATCAAGGATGTATTTAATTTGGCCCTAAATATAGTCTAATCCATATTTATATGTTACATGTGCTTTTATACCTTATGCTTTACGCTATAGGCTAGAAATCAGCCTTAATAGATAGACTATATTAATATACAGTATACAAAAAAAAGTTGTTATTCATAATAGTAGATAATCCATCTATTATTTATAATATTTAATAATTATTGGTCATTATGGAACGTTATAATCAATAAATCACCACCATATACATACAACAGGCAGAATTGTGACATGGTTTACTTTTATAAAATCTATCCTCAGATGGAGATGAATAATTTTTTTACATAATTTAATAATATAATCGAAAATAAAAAATATATATATAATTTTTAAAGAAAACAGCTCTTAATCTTTAGAATATTTTATAAAGATACATAGTATTATATTATTTTATAAAGCCTTATATTGCATGCAAGAACTCCAGGGTAAGATAATGCCATACCTCATTCAGCCAGCAAAATCATCTAGTATTAATTTTTGTCATGTTTCCAGGACCATCTAATGGTCTATGGTTTAGAGTTACTTTGTGATTGAATAACTAATTGCACATTTGAATATTGAGGTGAAAAAAATTCGGGTGGCTTTAATACTTATTCTTATTTCATGCAATGTTTTTGAGCAAGGAAAATATGTGGCCATGCTTTGGCTTTAGTCTCATACCATTGGTGTGAGAGAACACAAAGTAGATGAACGAAAACAACTATATTGATTCCTTTATTATAATATATTCTATCATTAGTCCACATTATTTAAAGTGGGTATTATCATGAAAATTTATATTAAGATATGTATTATGTATCATTAAAATTTATTGTAAATTACCTTAAATCTATATAACTAAAAAAATACATGAAAAAATCGTAACGTTTAGACTAGCATGTATAAATAGTTTAAATTGTGTAACTTGAAATCCTACGCCAAAACCTGTGACATGCCTCTGCCCGCCTGATCTATTTATGGTTAAAAACTATTCGATCCATGTGCATTCCAACCAACTAATCCAATTTCAGTTAATGAAATTTTATCTTAATCAGAATTTTTTTTGATTATTAATTTTTTTTGTCCCATCTTTTTTCATACCGAAAAATTTGTTTTTTCTCATTCTTTTCCCGTTTAGGTTTGATTTTTTTTCCCAAACTGAAAGAATAATCCTATTGTTTCGGTCTTTTAAGACCGATTTTTTTATATTAATTTTTTTTTCGATCTTTTTTTTTTAGACCATATTGTTATTTTCCAAAAAAATTTTTTTTTTACTCTTTTTTGACCGAATTATTTCAGAATTTTTTTGGTATTTATTTTTTTCAGATTCCTTTTTTTTCGGAAATTTCCATTTTTTTTTTTAAACCGATTTCTTTCTTTATCCTTTTCTTTCCCCCAAATTTTTTTTTTAATTTTTTTTATTATTAAATAAATAAAATCTTGTATTAAATATATTTACAAAATTATTATTTTTTTTAAAAAAATCAAGTAACATGTAGGAAGATTGACCGACGTTGATAGAATGATGATTAAGGTTTTTCAATTAAATTGAATGCTGGATAAATAGTTTGAAAAAAAAATTTGTTATTTTTACAATATTTTATAATTAATTAATTGAAGAAATTGATGATTTAATAATAGATTATTATAACTGATAACCAAATCCATACCCGAAATTCTCTAAATAATCACCAGATTTTGAATAAAGATTTTAATTCAAATGGTTTAGTTAAATTAATAATTTATCAAGTAAAATGAGTAAAATGAATATCAAAAAAGAATAATAATAAATGAAATGAACAGATTCTAATACATTTAATTCTTCAAATATTTTCCCTAACTGCTAAGTTGGTTATGAGTTTAAGATTGACGTAATATAGAATAATAAGAAATAATTATAAAATTTATAAAAATATTTGTAGTATTTTCACAATATTAAAGTTTTTTCGAAAATACTTCTAAAAAAGTTTATCAATTTTATTGATAATTATTTTTTCACAATTCCTTAATTAATACGAATTTCATTCTACACTTAAACATCAAATCATTAATTTAAATAAATAACTACATTATTGTAAATATAATTGGGAATTGAACGTCGCCTGGGCGATTGTCGCCTGGGTTTTTTTAAATATGTCACATGATGTACAAAATATATAAAGAGTAAATTTATTAATCAGCTGACGGCTGATTTTTTCAAACTTAGCTAATTTTTGATCGCCTAAACTTAAAAATTTTTATCGCAAAGATCTATTTTAAAAAAATTTTTTTTTTGAAAACATATTTATCCAAAATAATCTTATCTAATGAAATTTTATTTGCAAATATTAAAATTTAAATCACATATTTACGATTTTAAAGAAAAAATCACTGTATTTATTTTTTAATGAAGTGATACAAATAAAAGAAAAGATAAGTAAATTACAATGATCAAGAAAAAGGATTCTAATAAAAAAATGAAATAACAATGGAGTAATGAGAAGTAATAGAAGATAAAAGGGATAAAAAAGAGTAATGAGAAGTGATAGGAGAAATAGGACATGATGGAAGATGAAGAGGAGTAATAGGAAGATGAAGAGGAGTGATGGGAGATGAAAAGGAGCGATAGGAAGATGAAGAAGAATAATGAGAAGGTGAAGAGGAGTGATGGGAGACGAAAAGGAGTGATGAGAGACAAAAAGAAATGATGGGAAGTAAACAGGAGAGAAAAAGAAATAATGGAAAATGAAAAGATATAATAGAAATAATGAGAGATGAAAAAAATGGAATAATGAGAAGTAATAGGAGGTGAAAAATGATAAGAGACAAAAAATAAGAAAATGATTATGATAGGAGGAGATAATGATAGGAAACCAAGTAAAAAATAAACCATAAAGTAAAAAAATGAAGTTAGTAAGAAACGAAATATAAGATAGAAACAAAATAAAAAAAATAAATAAAAAATAAAAAACATACCTTTATTAATTGTAGAACCGAAAGAACTAAAAGTTCTAAAAAAAAAATGAAATAAAATTAATGAAAAACGAAATATGAACCAGAAACAAAATAAAGAAAATAAAAAAATAAGAAACGAAATGTAAAGTGAAAAACAACTGAACCTTAATTGCAGAACCGGAAGGACTAAAAGACCTAAAAACAATGAAATAGAGTTAGTAAGAAACAAAGTGTAAGGATGTAAGTTAGAAATAAAAATAAAAAGAAAAAAAGAAAAATACCTTGAGACCAAAATAACTGAGAAAACGAATCTTGAACCTATAATGAAAATGAGATTAATAAATATGACGCGATCATGTGGCCAATCCGGCCAATCAAAAATATTAAATCTGCCGACATGATCGAAGATCCAGGCGATTCCCAATATAATTTATATCATTCTAATTATAATTATAATTTAGTACATATTATTTTATTAATTTGTGTTAACTAATTAATAATTATTACCTATATTAAATTCCTAATTATAAACAATACTAAAATTTTCTATTTAAGCAAACTCATTGGTCCCGGTGCGGAGCAACGGGTAACTGCTAGTATTAACTAAATATACAGCAAGTATATTTTACAAGGACTTTGTATCTTTATTAAATGTAGAAAATTAAATATTGTGTTAAATAAATTTGTTCTTATCTTAAAATAAATATTATTTCTTAAATTAAAATTAAAATAGTAGTTGGAGGAGTATTTCTGCTATTTATTATTCCAAGCAAATTAATGATTTTTATATTGTATATTATATCTTATATGAATTATGCTGAATAATTTTAAGTTTATCATAACTTAATATATTTGATATTTTTTTTCTTAATAATCTCTGTTAAATAATATAAATATTATTATACTCTTCCGTTAATTTAATATATGCGGGTCAAAACAACTCTGACAGTTACAACTTACAAATATTTGTTGGTAATACCATATTCATAAATAGAAGGGGCTTTTTTTACTTTTATTATTATTAATTTATTATTATTTTGTAAAAATTAATTTCTTCCGTAGAAATTTTTATTTAAAAATGTCTAATAACGCCGAAATTATATAATGATTGGTATCTTGGTATCTAAAAAAATACTATTAGTTATTATGAGATTGTTAAGTTGATACTAGAGTTTCGAAAAGTTTATCAGGACCCCGAAATATACATAAAAGGGTCAGGTCAGAGTTTGCGTATAATGAGTCAAAAAAATCATGTAGATCATTCCTTTTATGGATAATCCCAGCCAAAATAATATTTCCTAATTTAGATAATGGCTGAAATTATCGTAATTCCGGCCCTGAAAGAATGCGTATTTTGGACCACTTCTGGACCTGACCTCTACATATATATTTCGGGGTCCTAGTTTATCGTGCAAATTGAAAAAATTCTCATAAATATTTATCATTAAAATCTTTTTTTTTAATTTCAGTAATACTACAGCCAAAAAAATTACTCATGAGGTAATTATAACATAATAAAATGAAATAAATATTTCAAACTTCAGCGTGAAGTCATATTTTCATCATGATATCATCCATTTTTATATTCAGTCGAGGTATGACGAAATTTGTTATAAAAAAAAAATTTTTTCCCCTTCTTTCAAAAGAAATAAAGGAAAAATATTTGTTGGTAATGGAATATGCTTAGATGAACACTGCCAGAATTCTAGATAATTTAAATAATTTAACGAAATAAGTTACAAAATCACCATGCACAATTCCTTTATTATTTAAAAAATAATCAATTGGTATTCTAATTCGTATTTATTCTTTCCAAGTAAGATTCTTAAATTTTTCTCCCAAATAGTTATGAAGAGAACTATACTCCATTTATTAATAATATTACTTTATTTGGGGGACGTCTAAAGCGGAGCAGAGTCACGTGATACGCCACGTATTTGCACCGCCACACGGCTGTTTATTTATTTATTTTTTTTTAAAAAAAATTTTTTTATCAGGCTCTTTCTTTCTTTTAAGCCTTAGGATTTACAAATCATGTAAACCTTTTCCCTCGTCCTTTTGTTCGTTTTATGAATAGCATCGTACTATTTTCATATTAAGTTCACGTATTTCAAAAAAAATATTGTAAATATTTTTTTTTTTGTTTTTTTTGTAAGTTTTTTTTATTTAGTCCTTTTTCTTTTTACTAATATTAAACTTATAAATTAATAGTTAAGTAACTTAAGTTAAACATTTTTTCCGTCTTTTTTGTTGTCATGTCTGTCTCTTCGGTTAATACTTCCGCTACCACTTTGGTTGCCGCGCAAATGACAAATATCACTTCGGAAGAAAAGCGGAATCTCCTTTTTGATGTAAATTGCTCTTTGGAAGTTCAAATGGAGGATTTCGATGAAAATTGGTGGCCATTAGTTTCAAATATATGGACACAATGGACTTCATATAAACAAGTAAATGGAAACTTTTGGAAGATCTTTACTTGCCGTTTTACAAAGCATCGAGACTCTAGTACACGACAAAAAGAAAATATTTCTAATGAAAAACGCCGAATAACGAAGACAAGACCATCTGGATTATGTCATGCTAAAATTAAAGTTGAATGGTTAGTCTTGTTGAAAATAGTTAAAGTTGGACGTTATAAAGACTCGTCCAACCATACACACTCATTGTTAGATGTCGATAGGCTTAAACGTCCTCAAGTTATTCGAACTTTAGTGGAAAAAGAAGCTGTCAAAAATTATTTGCCTCTGGCAATTACTGCTGCCGTTAAAGAATATGCAACGATTGAATTAGGTCTTGGTGCAAGTGCACAAGAATTGAAGCGCAAGGAAGTAACGAACATTAAGTATAAAGTTCGTGGACCTATGGAAGTTCATCTCGTTGGCAATTCTGATTTAAAGTTAGATATTTCACAATCAGTATCATATTTAAAAGAGCAAGAATATCAAGTTGAAATTTATCGTGTCCACCAACGATCTACTAAGGGCATTGTTTTTGCACACCCTGAGCAACTTGAGAAACTTGAGAATCATGGATGGTTGACTCTAATTGATTCCACCCATAAAACAAATAGATATGATTGGCGTCTATTTACACTGTACGTTCACGACACTTACGGATGCTGGAATATAGG